GGTTTCAATTTATTATCATCTTAGATAATATTAAGCCTTTTTTTAAAAAAAATTTTTTTTTATTAAACTAAAATGATATGTATTAATAATTTTTTTTTTTTTTTTTTACAATTTTATGATGAAAAAGTTTACTTACGTCTTATTATTTAAAATTAAATTGTAAATACGAACGTTATTAGTTCAATGTGCAGTAGTAGAAGGTGAATCCTCACAAAATTATTTTTTATCAATTTATTAAACATGTGTGAAAAAAAAAGGTCAAATTAAATTTATTTGGCCAGCTTATATTAACAAAATGATAATTTCTTTAAAACTTCTGAATATTTTATTTTATGTTATTGATAAACCGAACACTTGTTTAACCAATTTTGCGCAAATTACGTTCTAAAAAAATTAAATCTTTAAACTTGTTTTAAACGTGCAGTTATATTATCAATTATGTTATATACCTTTAAAATTATTTCAATAATAAATTTTAATTTAAAAATTGAAACAAAACGTTTTTTTTTGCTATATGGCAATCATCTTATTGTTACGAAAAAAATAATAAAAACCCTACGAAAATGCCTTTAGTCAACTCTCAAGCAGGTCTTCCAAGATTTAAATCATTCACACCAAAAAATTATACCGATAAAAAATTTGTTAAACCATATTTTAATTTTCTAAAAATCATGTATCTCTTTACAAAATTCGCGAATAAAAATCGTAAATTTGCTAAACTTACCAGAGCATCCCAAATTTTTATGAAATTGGCATTGTGTTTTTTAATTTTTATAGGAACGGTCGCTGGGCACGGGAGTATGGTTTGTAATCTATTAACATTTCTCTATATATTATTCACATGATATATATTTATAATGAGTTTTTTTAAAACGATAAGACTTTTCCTAAACCTCGTATCCCACCCGGTGATCAAGAAAATGGTCTAACGATAACTAGAGGTCCAACCAAACAATACCCATGCGCAGGTAATAAAAAAGCAAAAACCCTTACCAGTTTTCGATCCGGTCAACTCGTAAACGTTAAATGGGAGATCGGAGCTGCACATCGTGGTTCATGTGCTATTGAACTCTCAACAAATGGAAAGGATACAGATTTCAAAGTTCTTCAAACAATTGACGATTGCGCTGATAAGACAGGAAAAAATTTTAGTTCCAAAGTTAAATTGCCATCAAACGTTAGTTGTAAATCATGTACTTTGAGGTTTCGTTGGGAAGCAGAAATCACTAAGGAACTTTATCTTAATTGTGCTGATATTGGAATTAATAGTAAAAACAAAACCAATAGTAAACGAAGGATGTTTTTTTAATATAAGTTATGAATTTAATTTATTACGGCATTTTTTTTTTTTAATAATTAGAAATTCAATATATGCGTGTGATAAATTTTCTTCGTCTCAAAATAGTTGCTTTGAACTTTTTCATTAACAGTATTAACTTTGACTGTTAACAGTTAATAAATTTGATCAACATTAGTGTTGAGATTTAGCGTTAGTGAATCACGTTATTAATCAAAAAAATGAAATTCTGAATGGTTTGCAAAAGTTTAATGCTTTCACAATCTTTTTTTTTTTTTTTTTTTACCTAGCATACATCTAACGAAATATACGTATCTATGAGATATTTTATGATAAGTGAAAATATACGTACTGTATCTAATAGATATGTATATATTTGGGGTGGTCAGTAGAAAACAAATTGTTTTTATTAAATTTTTTAAAACTTTGAGCAAGAATATTTTGATAACCATCTGATCAAATTTAATAAAAAATTTTTATCAAATTTGGTCAAGTAGTTGTCAAGTAGTTGTCAAGTAGTTGTCAAGCTCAAAGGTTTTATATAAACCACGAGAATATTTAATGAGATATACTTAGTAGGTGATTCGGAATTAATGATCAATTTCGGATTATGAATAGTGATCTATAACAGTATAACAGATAATGATAGTGTTCTGTCTATGATATCCGAAATCTGATAGATAATTGGTTAAAATAGATTAATAGGTGGTTGATAACCGAATAACTTAATAAGCTATTCGGATACACTTGACAATTACAAATCAACAATATAAATCATTTGACAATTACAAGTTCTAAGGTAATAAACAATATATGAAATTGGAGAAATTCTATTTTTATCTGGATGAAAATAGAATATCTCTAATTTTATTGTTGATTATCTTAACTTGCTAATACTGTACATCAGATAATTCGGTTGAATTCGTTCAGATATCTGGAAAAATAGCATGGCGGATTAATCCTGGATTGGAACTTTAGATAAAATCTTTTTTTTTTTTTGTGGTAATCACGTCATTCTGGTTATACCGACATCTGGATATAACGACATTATAGTAAAATCTTTCTATACCGACATTTTTAATTTTCGGTATAATTCACAGTATCGACATTTTGAATTTTCGGTATAACTCAGTATCGACATTTTGAATTTTCGGTATAATTCACAGTACAGTATCGACATTTTGAATTTTTTTAATGTCTCAAAAATGTCGATAATAACCAGAGTGACATGTATATCATCAAAAAAAGTTGCTAATTTTATTAATTTTATCTCTTGATACACTTAATTTTATTTCCTAATTTCTAAATTTCAAAACAGAGATGGGATTTTTTTAATCTACATATTTTCAAAGTAAGAAATATATATAATGAGAAATATCCAATAAAACATATTTTAATGAGACATACCTTTTCCATCTATCTTCTGTATGCCAATTATTCTCTACGTTAATAATCGACCAATCTAAGAAGCGATTCTTATTCTAATAATAATTTATAAGACTAGAACAATAATTATTTAGTTAACCTATCAATTTTTACAAATTTTATCATAACAATATATTGACAGCAGAATTATTAAAATGTCAAAAGATAACTGTAAACAAACAAACCTAGATATCGAATGTCAATAAGCTAGTGCCCTTAATGTTGTGTCATTATGCGAATAATGTTTTACGAACAAGATGTAATCAAAAATTAACAATTGCTTTCATTAAATAAATTGTAAGGGATCATTGAGAATTATTTTACGAATATGGTGAATTTACACGACAGTATTCATTATCAATAGAGTTTGTAAACTGGAGGATACATAGAGGTAGAGAAGAGTATACAATTCAAATGTAGTACGCAAAAATTAATTGACTCAGGTCTGTCCTAGGATTAATTTCTTCCCACGTACGTACTGTACGTACAAAAAAATTAATAGATTGATTGACCATATCACGAGCTTCAGGTTGCAGGAATGCAGAAAACCAGTATATTAAATGCATAACTTTATGTATGCAAATTATATTTGTGTCCTTTTCAACTTGATCATTGTCTGGAGTACCATATATTATAGTTTCACATGAGAAAAAAATAATCTATTTGAACGTGTGTATTGTGATTACTCGTATTTCATAATTAGGATTAGCAACGATGCGACTCAATAGTATTTCCTAAAATTGAAAATCCTATCGCTATGCTGTGATAATCCTAATTAATTTCTGTAATTGTCACAAAATCATCAATAATCACTTTTGTATTTATTTTGCGCATTTACTCAGGTGACGTCAGAATAGATGCGTGACCCAGTTCATCTTAAATAAATATTAACCATGCTTCATAATTTTCAAGTAATGTCCGATCTAACCTAACAAAGGAAAACAACGAGCTCCTTTGTCAAAAGAAAAAAAAAAAAAAAAAAATCAGGAACCAATCAAACAATAGATCGTTATAGAATAATATTAAAATATCAAGTTAAATAATTGAAAAACTATACTGTATACGTAAACGTAATTCCGATAATACGTTCCAGACTACTTTAAAGTTTTTTTTTCAGTGTTTCACATGTAGATGTTTAAAAGAAACGCGACACGATCTGAATCTTATCTGATATGGGGAGCGCGCATGATCCAAACAAAAGTACTAGTGCAAAACAAACTCGAACCAATCATGAAAAAAACTTTCTCATTAAGTTTATGACAATCATATTTTATTGATGACTTTTGATTAAATATGACAAAATAATTTTGATTCTTTGTTTTCTGCAAAAGAATTCGGAATTCGAATTAGATTAGTCTTTGTCTTCTCTCCGTGCCTAATGCAGTCTAGACGCTAAAAAAAAGAAGAAACATTCTTTAATAACTACTAACGGCATGTCAACAAACAAAATATTTTATGCGTATTTGTTTTTCCTTATGGTTCCCATTAAACCTTTTTTAAATGTTTCGTAATGGACATAAAAGTCTTATGATCAATTTAGCACTTTGTGTTTTATCATACGGTTTCAATTTATTATCATCTTAGATAATATTAAGCCTTTTTTTAAAAAAAATTTTTTTTTATTAAACTAAAATGAT